TTAAGTTTATGGGGATACATGGCATTTTCTTTAAAATTGCGATGAATGTTCTGATGTTTTTGGCCTCTTTTTTTGCAATGAAACTGTGTGAGAAAGTGAAAATTGTGAAAATATTTCAAATTTTCTTTTCGTATAATAATAATAATAATAATAATAAATCTAAGGCAACTTGTTCCAATTAGAATAAAATGTTTAGTAGTTTGGTACAGGGGCGTGTCCAGAGAGGGGGCCTGGGGTAGAACTGGCCACCCTTTAAATCTGATATACCTACCCAAGTCCCACCCCATTAGCCACTACACACTGTCTGGCTGTAGCAGGCTCAGTTTCAAAGCAGAGAATAAAGAATACTGGTATCATATGAAACTAGACGACCTAACGCATCCATTGGTACCAGCCTAACTGGTAATGATACTTTGTTGGAAATGGAAATAACGCTCCAAAGTTAGGCAAAATCTTGGTAATGGAAAAACTGGCATTTTAAAATAGAAAAAAAATGTTCAAAGGGACCCTTAGCCCCTAACCTTAAGATATCTGAATTAAAATCCTATGGGTACCTGCAGAGGACAGGAAAGACAGAGCGAATGACATGTAGCAAAGGGCCACAGGTCGAGTTGAACCCATGGCCCCTTCAGCAAGGACTCAGCCTTGGTACATTGGGCATCAGCTATAGGTGAGCTATCAGCACGCCCAGGCATGATACTTTATGCTAATCCCAGTTAGTTTTTTGCATGTGGCATGAATGTCTTATTTTCGCCTGAATAATTCTGCATACAATTGGTCAAAATTGCAAGTTCATGCAGAATTCATAGGGAATGGTTGAATTTACGTTAATTGTTGCGATCACAACATTGTACCTTTCTGGAAGGACTGGTAGGTTAGATACACAGACATAGACACCTCTGCTAACAAGTTTCTCTGGTAGTTTATCTACTGGTGAAAATGAATCTATATATCAATGTCTAATCACCAGAGTATACTCTGCTTTACTGGTATTGTTGATATTAAAACATAAAACTATTCAAGTTGTGCATTCAGAATGTGAGATGAATGACCCAATTTCCCCCCTGGGGATCAATAGAGTATTTCTGATTCATGAAGGTTTCCAGATTACCAGCGTGCTCCCTACTGTATCACTCTTCCTACAGAGACAGGTCTTTTCAGGTTTGTGAAATGTGCCTGCACAAAGACAGAGCCCCTTACATACAGTACAGTTCCTTTATTTAGTAAGCAATTATACTTATACTAGCTATTATTTTAAAAAAATAATAATAACTAACCAACTATATCTATATGTTTATACCTGGTCTATGTAAATGAGAGCAGTCATATGTCACTTCCCTGTCTTTCAGAATTACCACCCCTTTTGGGTGAAACAACCACTGTAAAAGTGCCTAGTGGCACCATTTCTAAAAGTTTCTATGTCACATTTTGCACATCAAACAATAAAAAAAAACCTAGTTTAAGATTTTCTTTACTTGCCCAAAGAGCAAAGGACAATAAAAGAAGAGATCTATGGCTTCAGATAATCCACAACCGTGGGACCCGGAGTGTCAATGTGTGTACGTCTGTGGTAGACACTTCATCAAAGGTTAGTTAATGATTTTACTGAGTAAAAGATGTATGCAGATTGTAACTGTAGATTGAAGAGAATCAGAGAACAATCACTCCATTAAACCCTATGTCTTTCATTTTTTCTATATAACTATGCAAATCGTTTATTACATTACATTACATTAACACCCTATACCTGATAACTAAAAAGCAACACAATACTCTATTTTATGCTATTACATTGGCAAAGACCTCAAAATCAAAATGTACTGCCAGTCAAATTAGAGAAGCTGCTTTCACCCAAAAGGTGCCAGGGGGCATGATGCAAGGGAAAAGTATCTGGATGGGCTGCTCTCATCTGTGGCTACACAAGGTGGGGCTAAAAGTGTTCCATCAGAGAGGGGTACAGCCAGGACAGCTGGGAGCAAAGAACACAGCCCTTTCCCCTCCAGCTGCTCTTTCTCTTCAGCATCCCACTGCCCAGTCTCTCTACAACTTTGATCTTTGTAGTCTCAAAGCAGAGAATGCTACAAATAGGGATAACAGCTCAGTCTCTCCTCCAAAGTGCCCACAATGTTGCACTCAGTTGTACACAAATACAGAAATAGTTGTGTGAAAAATGAAAAGAGAGCTTAACCCTTACAAACTGTTCATATCAAATGCCTTCACAGTATGGTCGGGGTCAAATTTGACCCGGTCCAAGAAAGTCCTCATAAAAAGTGTCTATACCATATTTTGAACTACAGATCTATTTAGAA